CAATTTTAAAAACAACATTAGGCAAATCAAAATGTGCGCGATATTGCTAGTTCTCTAAAGAAAACCTTGGGTTTCCATTAAAATAAACATTCGATTCTGTGCTATGTATATTACACTCTACACTGAATGAAAAAGAAAGAAAAACAAACAATGGCTTGTCTGCAGGTGGCGAGAACAAAAGCTACTTCACTCAAGCATTGAAAGGCGTCAATCAGTTTCGGTGTTTTTAAAAAATCAACAAGCTCGCGGAAGAAAACACTTATTAATACTGCACAAATATTTCGACAAGATTGATTCTCGATTCGCCTTTTACGAAAGCAACTCCTTTGGTTCAAGAACAACGCGTGCAAAATGATGACTTGTATGTTTTGGAAAAGAGCCTTCGTCATTCGCTTCCTGGTGGTTTTGGTATTGATGAGTGTCTTTGGTGGAACCAACGCGCTCTATGTTATACGGAGTGATGTTGATGCCTTCTCTAATCCTGATGCCGCGTCTTGCAGCCGCGTCGGTTGCAGACGAGTCCGCGGAGCGAATGGCTGCAAACGTGGAAACTGTTGCATGTGCCAGTGTAGCCGCAGTAGGCCGAATTACCTCAGCCACCGTAAGGCATGTGTACCAAATGATGAACTAATAGGAGGTAGGGACAGTTAACTCAAGCTTGCTCTTCGTCTAGCTAGAGAATGAGAGCTAGTGTCTTCGTTTGGCCTTGTAACTTAGAGGCCAGATCAATGCCGAGGGTTTTGTCCGGGTTCTCGGGTTTTCCTCCCTCCGCAGACACCAACACTCCAAATCTCAATTCAACAAAGATAGAGGACCTGCACGAAAACCAACTGAGGCTGATGTAGCTTCCTCTCTAAATATTGTACTATTTTTTCAATGCGTTAGGTCACTTTAAGGTTTGATCATCACTGACCATTCTCGTCCAATTTAGACCTTGCTTAAATTCTCATGAGTGCGTGTAGGCTGGGGAACGTTTGTTAAGCGCAATAGTTGTTGGGTGTTGAAGAAACCTGTGAGTCATCTAGCTTCCATTGTCGGGTCTTGTCGACTGTCATCTCGTTTGAAAAAACTTTTAAAGTGCTATGGGCTACATTGTCTCGCAAATTTGTTCCAATTCAAGGTGCCAGAGAAATTCCCTGTGTGGTATACAGTATCAGTATCCCAAATTACGGCGTTAAAACTGTATGATACAAGAACATGATGCCGTAAAGCGCTAATCTGTTTATACCAAGCTATTAGCTTCAGCTAATGTCAAGCATGACAAGTAAAGCATACAAAACTATGTAAATATAAGTTCAGAGAGAGTTAATACAAAAAAAGAGATCTTCCTTTTGAATTCTCAAAATCTGTTTTTTTGACTTGCTTTCCTTGCTTATAGCAAATTTTAAGTGGCTAAACTATAGAACTGGAATGACACAAAGTTGAGCAATGTTTTGCGAGCAATCCGTTGGCAAAACAAGCAGGACAATCATAAATTTCAAATTAAGTGAATCGCATCAAGCGTGTAACTGTAAACTGTATGAATTGATTATTATTTTTACCATGTTGCAGCCCCTTAAAACGAGAAAAATGTTACGTTTATGTTACAGGCATGTCATAAACTAAAACAATTTGCTTTCATACCACGTTTTAGTGGCGATAACTCCTTTTTCAACGAGACTTAAACGGCAAAACACATTCCTGATAAACGGCTATAGTTGTACAGTATTTGAGCACGGTTTTCAATTTTTCTTGAGAAACTTTAGCTCTCTACTGCCCTGGCTCATGTTACGACAACTCCATTTCGCCACCTCGACAATTTTCGAACTGATGATATGTCTGTCTTCTAATATCCGATAAATTTGGCGGAAACTAGCGCGCACGACAGTTTTTCCGCCTAAAGTGCGCATATATTTTTGAGTCGCAATGAGGACGTCGTCGATTGAGGTAACCAACTTTTACTTACATAACTTCCCACTAGAGAAGTCCTTCTGAAGTCTTCTAAGTAATTTTGCTTTCGATTTATGACAAACTAAAAGCAAAATAGGTTCGTAAATGACTTCAGCGACGGAAAGACTGAGAAATATTCAGCTAAAATGCATTTCCAAACTAATTAACTAATTAATTAATTAATCAATTAATTAATCGTTTAATTTGTTAGTAATAAAATTGTTTTGTGATATTTACGAAACTGATGTTGATCATATTGCAATTTTTAGTCGTCAGTTTGAAACAATGATTTGGGCTTTCCACAGAGGTAAACTATTTAGTTCCTAAAGCAACCCAATTTACCATGGGGAACTAAAATAGGCAAACAAACAAAAAACCAAGAAAATTCCAAACCTCGTTTTCAGACGTAGTGTAGCAATACTCGTTTTAATCTCAGTTCAAGCAACGTGCCGTCCTTGGAAAGCTTGATGCCGTACGCATTTCCGAATTGTGAAGGACTAGACATGAATTGCAACGTAAAACAATGGTCTCATTTTGATTCTTAAAGTTTGATGTGAGTTTATCTCGCCGCTAAAGCAGGCAAGAAACGCAACACGCTAAACACTTTGTTGCAATAGTTCAACTTCTCATCACAAGACACAGCTAGTGCAGGTGGTTGTGATATTCGCTATAGGCTGAATAACCAGCCTACAATGATCAAAAGGGCAATATATATATAAAATTTGTCACGTCCCAACTTTCGTAGACAGAGATAGAACACTATATTTTCCTCGTTCGTGCTAAACGCAGGACTAACTTAATTCAATTCAATAGAAGTTTATTGTTTAATACACTTAGCCTTTCAAAGCTAAGTTCCTGTAAGTAACCAAGGCTGCCCAGGAAATAGGAAACCTGATCGGCCTAAAACCACTCAGTGCTGAATTATCAGGACTGAGCTCACGACAGTGAGGTAAAACTGACAGTGCGCATACTGCGAAAAATAAGGCTAAAATGGAGGGAGATTGTTGTTGCCTTTTGCCCCGCAAGGGCCGACGGAAATTAACTAAGTTAGTTCACGCATGACCCACTCACGTGATTCTCTCGCGCGGCTTTTCTACCTCCTGCGAGAGGGACTTCAGAGATTCTAGCTAAAAAATTTTAAACCGATGGCGTAACTCAACAGAAATCTGTTCCTGACATTGTCGCTCGGTTACGAACTACCACGAACGTGCAGATTACAAATTACAGGAACTAAACTGATTTTTTGACTAATTTCTTTTTCTTTTTAAACTGTTTAGATTGCGATTTTTTGCCCCTGTCTTCAGAGATTGCAGTTGTAGACTTCAGCAAGGCAGGAATTGTTCTGTTTTATGGTGACGCTGATAGATGCTACAGTGGATTACGGGTCGCGCAATGGTCTTATCGGTTGGATACACCGAAAATGATTAAAGAACAACCGAACAACTTCATAGTCAAAGGTGGAGGGTCCAGCAGATGGTATCTACAGGTACGAAAAAAATAGTAATTTGAAAAAATGTTTCATCAGGTTCTTTATACAGCATTATACCACATGAAAGTACCACATGAAAGGACTGCGCAATGGTCACGAACTAGGGTTTTATTCACAGACTGATATGTTAAGGTCACTTTGTACAGCATAATAAACAGTAATTATTGGCAAATAGCTTTCATTTGAACGGTCACACACTAGGGTTTTATCCACAGACTCATATAAGTTAAAGCCACCTTGTACAGCTAGCATAATAAACAGTATCACATGAAAATACTGCTAAATAGCTTGGGTAAAGGTGCGACCTGTAATTGTAAACAGCCAAAATACGCGTA